GTAGGATGTAGGAGAGAACTGGGGACGGGTCGAGGCACCCTTCTTGAACTCTTAGCAGGAGTGTAGATTAGACTGGAACAATCCTTCTGAGAGCAACCTTGCAGTACTCAGTCAAATAAAACACTCAGCTTTCCATTCCTATATAGATGCCACAAAACAACAACAAAAAGAATGTCACACTGTCCTGTGGAATGAGGGGAGAGGGCGCTGAGAGGTGGAGAGGTGTGCTTACTACATGGCTTCATTCCACACAAAGTCTTCCACTCCCTCTAAATCTAACACCCTAGCCAAACCGAACCAAGGGGAAAAACCAGACAACCTGTTTTCCTAATCCTTCCTCAGGGTCTCTCCTTGTTAGCTTCATCATTATTCTTAACCATGTTCTAAATCTCAGTGTTGGCTTGGCAGAAGCTTGTTGGGGAGTAGGAATAGTGTGAGAGAAAACAAAACAAAAGCAAAAAACCCCCAACTTTTTCTCATTCTACTCAAAACACTCAACACCAAACACTTCTGTGACCAGATGTCACAGCCAAGAAATTCTCCAGTAGATACCACCTGGGTGTCCTCTAACTCAGCTCAATTCTAGCACTATCTACCTGGAGACAGTGTTAGATCCCACGAGTTCAGGGCTCAGTTCTAATAGACTGCTCCCACTTCAGACACGTGTGCAAGTAGTAGATTCATCACCTACACTTCTGTCTGACCAGCTATACACTGGGATTCTCACTATCCTCTCCTAGGTTTTGATTAATTTGCTGGGAGAGCTCACAGAACTCAAAGAAATGGTTTTCTGGCTTATTGCAAAGAACACTGCAAAGGATACAGATGAAAAGCCAGGGAGAACGCAGGGGATTGGGCTTCAGGAAGGGGGCAAGGAGCACTCAGTGTAGCATCCAGCCTCTGCTTGGTTCTCAGCGGACCAGCAGGCTCAGGCAGAGGATGTCTGCCTTCCAGATCTACCTAATCCTTCTCAAGGAGCCATTGGGCTTCATTAAGGTCCTGGAGTGGTCAGGAGGCTGTTGGTGGCTTTGGCAAGAACATTTTCATGTTCCAGTCAAATCAGAAGCCAGACTGAAGTAGGATGAATGAATATGATAAGATAATGAAGACAGTGTACCCATAATTTGTGAAGATGGAAGAGCATTTGGTGGTATTACAAAAACAAATTGCTTCCATCTTTTCTTTTGCCACCTGTGGAGGCAAAACGGAAATTCTAGTGAGTAGCCTTCCTAAAGTTAATGAGACTAAAACTGTTACAGCTACTTTTGGTTATCTATTCAGAGTGACTCAGGCATTATTTCAGTCACCTTCAAATGTAAATGTATGTGATGACAGAGAAAAGTCATGTCCTCATAGGAGATTACTCCTCTTCTGCACAATTCTGTGTTACATTTGCAGTCTTTGTATTCTTGTACTGCATTGCTGCCCTTCTGCTTTATGTCGGTTAGATCAACGTACACCAGGATAGTAGTAAACTTCCCATGATAGACTTTGTTTTACTGTTGTGGTTGGTGAGCACTTTGGTCTGGGCTAAAGCTCTTACAGATAGGCAGATCACAGTATTGTTCAGAAACTTCTGCCTTGTAAACAGTCACCAATGGTGTGTCATTTTGGTTCTGTGACTAGTACGGGATTTCTAAATGTATCTGTGATCTTTGGCTTTCTGAGTATAATATTTTGAGGAGAAAATCCTTGGTTTGTGTACAAGGAGACCAGCTTAGTCCATCAAATACTTCTGCTTCCCATAGCCAAGAAGGTGCCCCAGCTCTTGCCGGGATATAATTAAGGGAGAAATACACTGAATGAAACATGTACCTGTAGCATGACTTGCTGCCAACATCTTGAGAAGCATTTGTTTCTAATAAAAGTAATGACTTTTTCAGTGAATTGGTAGGTTTAAAATTTTGCTGCTTTTTTACATAAAATTTGTGCCTTTCCTGGATATTTAAGTTGTAAATGTATTCTTGCCTATAAATTTGAAAGTTCAGGGGTCTGTCATGATGCACATTTTTATTTTCTTTCTTTTATTTTTTTTTTGTTTTTTTCTATATACACGTTTTTAAATGAACAGTAATTTCTTCACTAAATTGTTTGCCTCCCCAAGCGTTTTTAACCTTAAGCTTTAAATTTATCTTTACTCAGAAAATAATTATATGGTCATGTCATAATAGGAAGAAAATCTTTTATTTCGAACTATATTACTGTAAGTTTGTACAGATCATACGTCTAGGACCTGCCTTTAAGAAAGCTTTGATTACATAAATTGTATTTATAAAACATATATTTAGTTCAATTTTTTTTTTTTTTTTTTTTTTTTTGGTACGGGGGATCAAACTCCGGTCCTTGCACTTGCGCAGCAGGCGGCGAAACCACTGAGCTAAATCCCTGGCCCAAGTTCAAATTTTGTGTCTGAACATTGTTCATGTTATAAAAATGTTTAATTACAAAGATTGGATATATGCTTTTGTTTCTTTTTTTTTTAAATGACCTGGTGTGCTTAATATGTGTACTGAAATTGTGTTAAGAGGAAGGACTTGTAAGTTTCTAACAGATGTGTAATTAATTTAGTACTTCTGTTCCATAAGATATGAGTTTCTATGCTGGAAGCTTAATAGGCTTGCTATGGAAAGAACTATGAAAATGCTATTTATAGGCATTGCTCTTAGTGATATATCTGTTGGCTATCTTTTTGTTTATGTCATGTAAGTACAGACTGGGACTTGATCTTCCAAAAGAAGTAAAATAATACACCCCCCTTTTATTGTAGACCTTATTCAGAGGATTAAAAAAATTAAGATTGCCTTTTACTTTTTTTTTTTTTTTTTTGGCTTTTGAAACATTTATCATTTAGAGTCAATGAGATTGCTGCTTTGAGGTTAGCTTTGATATTGTGAAAATAAATGTGATTTGGATTTCATATTTCTTAATATTCTTATTTTACAAATCAATGATTAAGAAATTATGCATCAATAACTGAAGTGAGTAATATTATGAGTATATCATCTGTACACTCATTTGGGTATATTCTACATACAATGCTTATTCATATACTGCTTCCTAATCTTTTTGTTTTACAGGAATCTAGACTTCCTATTTATATTATGATTGTTTATGTGAAGCACATCTTGCTATTGCCTTATTTTTGTTCCCTTTATTCATGACAAAATGTCAATATGAAAATGTATATGATTTATGCAACAGTTAATGAAGACGCTGAGTGTACTGACTGTTATATTACAAAGAAATCTTCATCTTAAAGGCATAGACAGTTCAAAGGAGAATTCATTTTCAAAGCAGAAAATAGAATTATAATAGTGTTTAAGTGTCTGGCAAGAAACAAAACAATGCTCAGGAAGGAAGAAAGGGAAAGAAAGGAAAGAGAGAGGGGAGGGGGGCCAGGCAGGCCAGGAATGGGTAAAGCAAAGTCTGGGGAGTGGAGATGCAGAGCTTTCATGCTCATCCACCTTCCATTCCCGTAAGAAGGTCATCCACTCTTGTTTTAGAGTTGTTGTTGTTGTTGTTTTAGAGTTGATGTCCAACATCTCCAACCTTCCTTCCTGGATCCTGATAGTGGGACCAGGAGATCCAGCCCTCCAGTCCTCCAGTCACATGTCTGGCGACTGGTCCCCCGCTTAAGTCACCTCATTAGCATAAACTCAGGTGTTACTGAAGGGTTCACTGTATATAATAAAAGAGGTGGAGGAGATTCCAAAAGTTTTAGGAGCTCTGTGACAGGAATCAGGGACAAAGATCAAATATATTATACCACAGACAACTATGCCACACCCTCATCACAAGAGACTGAAGGCAGCATAAAACCAAGAAGGTCTTACCACACCTACCTCACAAAAGGTATTGGGGATAGTGCTCCAAAGCTTCTGTAAAGGAGAAGGATTGGTGGTGAGGAAGAGACCTCCTATTCCCAAGTCCTGCAAATAATTTCTTGTTATCAGAGAGGTTCTTTGATAAATTTGGCTTCAATCAGGAACCAGAATATTTTATTGTTAAGGCCTGAAAGCTATAAAATCAGAGATGATGGAATCTTTTTAAAAGGATTTCCGAACAGACCCCAGACACAACCTCACTATCTGTTTTCAAATTTGCTGAATATTGTCCCCTTGGAGAAGAGTCTCCTCCTGTCTCTCTCTAAAGGATTTCAACTGCAGCCAGGTGTGGTGGTGCACAACTGTAATCCCAGCACTCCGGAGGCTGAGGCAGGAGGATCACCATTAGTTTGAGGCCAGCCTGGGCTACATAGTGAGTTCAGGGCCAGCCTGAACTACAAAGCGAAACCCTGTCTCAAAAAAACCAAACAACAACAAAACAAACAAACAAAAAGATTTCAACTGTACTTTCCCAACCCTGTAAATTTAAATGTTGTTAAAGGGATAACATAAAAATCAGATCAGGACAGGTATGCCAGCTCTGAGGCAGAACAGCAGAAATCTTGAGGTAACTCTGGCGACAAAATATGCAGCTATACTCTTGTATCAAGACAGAGAAGAGAGCAGAGATTCGGGGAAAAGATCCAGTCGAAATATCCAATCTCAATAGAAAACTGGCACCAGTGTGGGCACCAGCTTCTAAGTCAGGGGTCAACGAACAGGCCTCTGCCTAACCTGAGATATCAACAGAAGGAACCTGGGCATTCACACTTTTAAGAGGCAATTAGGGCCCTTACAGAGAGGGACAGAGCCAGGAATAAGACATAAGACGCAGAAGCCTAGATGGGAGTATAACTCAGTGGTAGACAGAGCTTGGCTAGCACGTATGAGACTTTGGGTTCAGTCTCCAGCACCAGAAAGGAAGAAAGGAAAGAGGGAAAGGAATAAAGTAAGTATGGGCAGAAGGGAAAAAAGGAGTAAGAAGGAAAGAAGGAAGGAGGAAGGAAGACACTGAACACAGCAGTTCACTCCACTGACGCCAAGCCCCCACCAGCCCCTCCTCTAGCGAGACATTTCCGGCCGAAAGGGGGCGCCTGCGCGTCCCCGCTGCGCCTGCGCAGGAGACGGGTCAGCACGCCGGCGCAGTGCGTCGGTCACAGCCTGGCTCCTGCGGTAGAATCTTTACTTCCTTGAGTGTTGACCCTGGAGAAAGGAAGATGGTGCTGGATCTGGATTTGTTTCGAGTGGATAAAGGAGGGAACCCAGACCTCATCCGAGAAAGCCAGGAGAAGCGCTTCAAGGACCCGGGACTCGTGGACCAGCTGGTGAAGGCAGACAGCGAGTGGCGACGATGTAAGTGTCGGGATGCGCAGGGTAGCCCCTGATCCTAAACTGAGCTTCAGCTCGTGACTGTGGTCACCACTTCCGAGGCCACGGCCTCTGAGTCTCATCAAATCCCCTCTTGGGCTTCGGCGGCTCCAAAGGTTTCCCTGTCCCCAAAACACGGGCTGGGAGCCGGCTCATCCCACTTTTCCTCCCGGCTCAGGCGGCACAAGGTCCTTTCCGCGCGTGCTCAGGGCTGGCCGCTGCGGGTGAGGCTGGAAAGGAGCACGGCGCATGCGCAGCAAGAGCTGTCAAGCCTTATGAACACTTGTCTTTGGTCCCCTTCTGCCCTTTTCTCAACTTCAGCAGGGACAGTGTGGTCTCTCTCTGTTTTAATAGGATCAAACGTTGCTGTCTGACACTCAGTCACATCTGCAACAAAATAGGTTAACTCTACCCACACTGAGAGCATTTGGGGACTTGGAAGCTGCGCCAGCCTAAAAGCAGTGATCTGGACCTCTAAGGAAGGCCATCTTGTGACCTATTGGCATATCTTTAAGAATCAGAAAAGCCTTTAACGTTGTAAATTAGACGTGAGGAGCGGGGTGTGGTGAGGCAAGAGAAAACTTGTAATTATTGAGGATGTGATTTGTGGAAGTTTTCTGGAAAAGACATTGGGACAGTTGGGGGAGATCCTAGAACTTACCCAGGCATCTTACATGAAGCTAAATAAAACCGTAGCACCCTCCTCCCAGGTTAACTGGAGTGGTCACTGGCTGGCAGGATGTTGTCAAGAACATGTGATTCGTTTTGTCTGATGCAATAGGCCTGGAACCAGCCAAGAGCCAGATTTATGACAGCACACTGCAAAGGCAGTTGCAATCCAAGAGTGTGATGGCTATCTCTTAGAAAAATTGATTTGCTTAAGTTTATAAGGGCCTTGGGTATCAAAAGAGTATTTATTTAGCTTGAGTTGTCTGCTGATTGTATATGCCTTAGGTATTCTAATGCCGTAGTTTGTAAGCTTCCACTCCACACGTGAATCTGAAATTTTAAGTTGTCTTGGAATGAAATTTGCCACATTTTCGTTTAGGATAAATATATAATGAGCACTATTGTACCAAATCAGAAGTCAAGAGTGTCGTATTTTATTAGTCCAGCCATTGCTCAGTTGCTAAATGACATTAAGTATGTTAGCCTATCCCGTGTGTATAATTACACATGTGTGAAAAGTTTTGTCCCTTATCTGACTAATGGATATGTGGTGAGTTCTTTAGGGACAAAGACTGAGTTACATATATAGGATATTCATGTATCAAAGAAAAAGATTATAACAATTTAAAGATTTTAATTGTGCTTTATTTTGCAATTTTAGAAATCAGTAAGTCTTTATTCTGTAAAATAGAATAAGTATTCCATGAGCTGAGCAGAAGAGGTAGGTTTGCAGAGAAGGGCTGAAGAGAGCAGAAACAAAGAAAATAAAAGGGATTGGTCATTTCAAAGTTACTTTCCCTGTAAAGTGAAGAAGATAGGAGACAGAAAAATAGAAATAGAATTGATTGGTCAACATCTGATTACTTCAGTTTACTTTTGTAAGGTTAAAGAATGTCAGGATTAAAGAAGAGGAAACTTCATTGTTATGCAGATTGAAACTGGCCTGTTTGGGAAATGTGGCTCTTTTCTCCTGATTTCTGGGAAGGTCAGATAGCAGTTTATGAGTTTGGTTATGTGGAACTGTACCACTTTGATTTTTAGTCTTCTCTGTTAAGACCTGGTACAGGACCCAAATCCAAAACAACCTCCAGTAATTTTAAACACATATATGCATATAGATATACACAGATATAGATATAATTACAATACCTAGCACTCCCCCCTGGTACTCAGGAAGGACTTCATAAAGGTTTTTTTGTCAGTACCTAAAAATTGTCTGTGTTCAAGGGTTTTTGCTTTGGTAGTAGTACTGGGGATTGAACCGTGACCTTCACACTAAGCTATATCCTTAGCCTGTCTATCAGTCTTTTCTTTTCTGTCTTTTTGAGACAGAGTCTTGCTAGTTGCCCAGGCTGGGTTTGAACTTGGAATCCTCCTGTCTGAGCCTAGAAATTGACATTGCTACAGTCTACAAAGTTTAACTCATTTTTCACCAGTTCTACATGCACTCGTGTGTGTGTGTGTGTGCGTGTGTGTGTGTGTGTGTATGTGTGTGTTTCTGTGTGATTTTACCATGTATATATTTGTAACTACCAGCACATTCAGGCTATAGAACTGTTCCATCACCACAAATATCTTTCTTGCTGTCCCTTTGTAGTACTGTATATTCACTTTCCCTTCCTTCATCAAGCCCTTGACAACCCCTGATTCTGTTCTCCATCTCTATAATTTTGTCATTATGAATAAATGAATGGGAAAATAGATCATTTTGTGGTAAAGTTTAAAGAGACATTAAAGAGAGAAGCTTATTGACAAAACCTTACATAATATAGTACAGTATAGTATAGGTGCAGTGTCATTTCTTGTAATCAATTTTACCTCTCAAAAGCTTGATCTTTTTTTTCTACCATGTTGTCCCAAATGCTTAGATTCAAGAGATTCAACTTTTCATAATCAGAGTCAGACTGATGAACTATAATACCAATATGTTAATTTGTGCTATTTGGCTGAGAAAAGAAGAATGCAAGTTTGAGGACAACCTAGGCAACTTAGACCCTGTCTCAAAATAAAAAATAAAAAGGACTATGAATGTAACTCATCACTTCCTGGGTTTAATCCTCAATACAAAGAAAGAAAGAGAGAGAAGGGAGGAAGTGAAATTACAACAAGTTATCAAAGCTGTCAACTGAGCTGAGTGTTGTGGTGCAGGCCTGTAATCCCAGCACTTGGAAGGCTGAGGCAGGAGGAATGCTGTGAAATTGAGGCCAACCTGGGCTATATAGTGAGTTCAAGGCCAGCCTAACTGCATAGCAAGACCCTGTCACACATACAAAAAAGGCTGTCAACTGAGCATGACATTAATACAAAAGGAATAGCATTAAACATTTCTAAAAGAGATGTTGCGACCAGGCTAATGATAATAAAAATATGATACCTCTTTTCTAGATTCCCATGTATAGCAAATATGTAGTCTCTTTAAATGAACCTTAAGATAATTAGGCAGGTTACAGTTATGTGTGTATATTTTCCAGATTTCTCAGTTGTACTATTTTACAGTGGTATCATATGTTGATTTATAAAATTTCAACCTCAGAATTGCTTTTTCCTTGTCTCCAAATGCTTGGGATAGCCTGTTGCTGTCACTAGTCTATGCTAACTTTGGAGCTCTGAAGCTCTAAGATTTTATAACTTCATGAGGCAGTTCCTTCAGTTCTGCTTCCATCTTTTTTTTTTTGGTACCAGGGATTGAACTTGGGGCCTTGGGCTTGTGAGGCAGGTGGCAGAACCACTGAGCTAAATCCCCAGCCCACTCTGTTTCCATTTTGATCTTGAGTTGAGATCCATACTGTGTTGGTCAGCTTTCCATAACTGTAAAAAAATACCTAATCAGTTTAAAAAGAAGAAAGGCCTATTTGGGCTCACAGTTTTGGAAATTTCAGTCAATGATTAGTTGACTCTGTTGCTTTTGGGCCTGTGCTGAGTCAGTAAATGATGGCAAGAGTGTGTGATAGAGGAAGCTGCTAACCTCCTGGTGGCCAGAAGGCAAAAGTAGAAAGATAAGGGGATAAATCCACTACCCGCCTTGAGGTCATGCCGAATAACCTATGACCTCCTACCAGGGCCCACTTCTTAAAGGTTCCTCCAGCTTCCTGTAGTGCCAAGATGAGGACCAAAACGTCTTTTAACACATGAGGCCTTTGGGGACAATTATCTAAATCATAGAAAGTACCAAGGAGCCATGATCAGGGAATATTTTAAGTGTGTTTCTTTGATATATTCTTTGCTTCTTTATTTTTAGGCAGATTTCAGGCAGACAACTTGAACAAGCTAAAGAACTTATGCAGCAAGACAATTGGAGAAAAAATGAAGGTAAGAGAGCTGAGTAACAGCCTGAGAGCTAGAGGAGAGGTATTTGATCTTGTTCTTAGCTGATGTTCCCTGAAGTTCTAACAAAGCATCTAATTCTGTGAGATGCTCAGTTTCTTACTAGGGGGAAGCTTGTTTTAAAAAGAAAGGGAGGAAGGGAATGAGGAGGCACCTTCTGTTTTGGTAAGATTTCTGCCACACCAGCATTCATCTTCTGTTCTCATTAATAGGAATTTTAATTCCATCAAGTCATCCTTTTCATTTCTTTCTTGAGCTCAGGAAAATCAGGAAGGTTTTCTCATGGCAGACTTCAGAATTTTTGTCCCAGAGTTGTCCTGCTTCTTCCTGAAAAAAGCACAGATTTGTAGCCTGTGTCTTGCCTTGGCCTCCAATTAGCTGCATGACTTTTAAGCAAGTTAACCTTTGAGCCTCAGTTTCCTCATCTGCAAAATGGCAGCACGCTCACCTATAGAATGAGGTTGTGAAAAGTAAATATCTTTTAAATGTAGTAAACTCGACACAATGCCTAGAATATTATGGTTGTTCAGCACTTGTGACTTATAGGAGATGGCAAATGGTTACTAGCTTTTATCCAGAAATCCTGATATTTGAACAGTATTAAATTTCAGCTTAGCTTTTGCTTTGGTATCCAAAATAGTTCTTGGATTTATCCTTTCTTCAAAAAAAAATACCTCTTGGCCCTTAACCACTAGTTTTAAAAGGCAGATTAAAGCTTGGTATGGTGGCTCAGGCCTGTAATCACAGCACTCTGGGAGGCTGAGGCAAGAGGGTCACTAGTAGAGCCCAGTCTGGGCTACTTAGAGAATCCCTGTCTCACAATGAAAAATTTAAAAAGACTGGGAATGTAGCCCAGTGTGAAGGCCCTGGGTTTAATCCCTAGTACTCCAGGAAAGAAATCTTGAAAATAATGCAAAAAGTTAAAACATTTTGAAACTAGAACCAATAAAAAAGCATGACAGAAAAATAACCTTGGGCTTGTAGCACCTTGCACTTCATGTTAGTCTATATCCTTCTCTTGGACAGGTTTTGTTTTTACAGTTTGAGGGCTTTGCCCTGAACTGTATTTCTAGTCTTCCCCCAACGTTTTTTTTTTTGTTTTTTTTTTTTTTAGTACTGGGGATCGAACTCGGGACGTTGCGCTTGTGAGGCAGGCGCCGGAACCACTGAGCTAAATCCCCGTCCCTATGCCCCCTTTTTGTGAGGTGAGGTCTTGCTCTGTCATTCAGGCTTGCCTTGAATTCACTGTGTAGCTCAAGCTGGCCTCGAACTTGTGGCAATCCTGGTTTAGCCTCCCTAGTGCTGGGATTACAGGCGCACACCACCACCAGCCCTTTAAAAAAATTTTTTTTTATTAATATTATTATTATTATTTTTTTTTTTTTTTGTACCGGGATCAAACTCAGGTCCTTGAACTTGCGAGGCAAGCAGCGGAACCACTGAGCTAAATCCATGGCCCTCTTTTTTGTAGTTTTTATTTGGATACAGAACCTTGCTAAGTTGCCCAGTCTGTAATCGAACTGGTGATCCTCTTGCCTCAGCCTCCCAGAGTACTAAGATTGGTGCTAGCTTTTTGACAGTATTTAAAAATTTTTTTTCTTTTTAATGAATAGATTACACTTTAGCAGGTTTGTATATGCATGTAACATACTTCGATCATTTTCATTCCCCTCATCTACCTTTTTGCCCCACCCTCCCCCTAGTTTCACACTGAGTAGTGGTTCAGTGTGTATAATGTTATACTTTGAGCTGTGGAAACTTATGTTGATAACACACAGTTTTCTTCCTCATGATGCTTAATCTTTTGCAGATCAGAGGCCCAGTAATTTTTTGATTCCCATGTATACTCTTGTCCAGATGTTCTCTGGGCTGTACACAGACAGTGCCAGCTGGGTATTTTTTGTAGCAATAAGTTGGGAGTGATGTTTTCATTTGCAATCACATTGTTAGGCCCAGCTTTACTGCTGGCCCTTTAGGTCGTTTTCACCCTTGCTGTCCGTTGGAATACTTGCAACACTGCTTTAATTTGTGTAGCACTAGGAAATATTCAGATACGTTCATAAACACTTCATTTTGGTTTTGATCTTTGCTGCAAACCTGGAGTGTAGATATTACATTTATTTTTTTATCAGTCTTATTTAAGGAGTAAGAAAAAAGACTTAGAACATTAAGGAACTTGCCTAAAATCAGACTAAGTCAGTTGCACATCCAGACCTTAAACTCAGTACTTGAATCTGCTGCCCCAGAGACTATCAGGTAGCATATATTGCTGTCATATGCTCACCCTATCTTTAATGCCATTATAGCTGCACACTGTGGTACACACCTATGATCCCAGTATAATCCAGTACTACAGAGGCTGAAGCAGGAGGATCATGAATTCAGGGCCAACCTGGGCAATTGGATTAGAAATGATGATAAAGAAGAGTGAGGAAGGAAAACAGGCCTGGCCACGCATTTGCCATTTTTGTCAAATTGCATTGATTGCTCTAAGCTTAGTTTCAGATTCTGTGATCCTTTTCCATTCACTTGTTTTCCTCGGCTCTCTGCTATTCCATCATTCCATTCATTTTCTCTCCTTAGCCTGAGTGCTGGGTTTGTTCCTAGTGAACACAAGGGCACCCCATCAGGGCCTGCTCTTGATTCTCCTGCCATTTCTGGCACATAATCATTTCAAATACATTATCTTGTGAGTTCCGTGATTCTTCCATGTCTAGGGAAAGCCATACTTCTTTTCATGGTCTCGATGTTAACTCTCACCCCAGCAGGTTAATTGTCTTGTCCAGGATCAAAAAGCTAGGAAACAGCAGAATAAGGACTTAAAACATGGCCTTCTGGCCTTCAATTTACTAGTTTTTCTCCTTTTGTGTTACAATTCATTGTTGGACATCTTGTGATTAGTTTATATATTAATAAAGTAATGTTAGAGATTTTCTTTCATTTAATCAAGTTGGGGTTTTTCTGTCCTGCAGAAAAAAGAGCCAGTGGGAGATGATGACTCTGTTCCTGAGAATGTGTTAAACTTTGATGACCTCACTGCAGACACTTTAGCTGTAAGTTACTGTCCTTTTCTAAGTTGGAGTCACTGCTCTTTTGTCTTAACTTCATTCCTAGGCAGCAAGTGCTGACTGTGTTTCACCCAGCACTGTGGCAACCTTGACTTCCTGCCACTGGGCAGTGTCCCTAGCCACTCCTGTTGTACTGTATACTTGAGTACTTATTAGATAGCAGCAATGTACTTAGCACTTTTGTTGTACTCTGTACTTCAGTACTTATTAGACAGCAGACAGATACAGATGGACTGGGAAAACCAAGGGTAGGAAGAAAAGAAAAAAAGAACTGAACTGTGTTTGGTTTTAGGTAATTCCATTTTCTACTCAGTTTCACAAAGTAAAAGAATTTCTGAACTTAACTGTGATTCAGTAAGTATTCACTATAGTATTCCCAGAGCAGTAATTTTCAAGTGTTTTCATCACTAAACCTTTCTTATAGCTAAGAATATAAACAGAGTTCTTTTCTCAAAGGTCTGTGTTGGAGACCTGATCCTGTCTAGCCCAGCCTGCTGAGGCTCTCCCCAAGAAATCAGAGCACAGCTTGAAACATCTTCAATCAGGAACACAAAATAAGCTTAAGACAAGGTCTCTTGCACCTAATAAAGTTATCTTCCCAGAGAACATTTAAATGCGTGTACATAATAGAAAGTTAAATTGGTTCAATCAGGAAAATCCAGAGTACAAATTAAGGGAAAGTTCTCTTGGGAGAGGCACAGTGTTAAAATTCCTAGGTTGTATTGGAACAGCAAGAGTGGCCAGAATAGATGTATCTCTGCCTTAGGCACCCGCAAAGGAAAATGCCAGTGGATTTGTAAGACAAGACTATATGTATCTCTATCTGTGTAAATAAATATCAGTTCTTTGAAGGCCTTCATTTTCAACTTTTAAAATGCTACCAGGTGTTGAGGGTGTGGCTCAGTGATGGAGTGTTTGCCTAGCTCGAGTGAGGCCCTGGGTTCCATCCCCAGCACTGCAAAAATAGAAATATATAATTTACCAAAATGGTTGTCACTGGAGGACCTCAGGGTGAGGGCCCCAGTGATTTATTCCTGTACCGTCCTTGACTCATGGTGTCCTGGGTCTGAGGCTGGCCTGTTCCTTTACAGAGCCTGAAAGTCTCACAAATCAAAAAAGTCCGACTCCTCATTGATGAAGCCATCCTAAAGTGTGATGCAGAGCGGCTAAAACTGGAGGCAGAGCGGTTTGAGAAACTTCGAGAGATTGGGAACCTTCTGCACCCCTCCGTGCCCATCAGTAACGACGAGGTAGGCATGGTGCCACCATAGGAGGTCACCGTCCTTGGCTGAGGGGCGGGGTGGGGGAGGCGGGGGTGGGAAGCTGTGCGACACTGGCACTGTGTATCACAGGCAGCTCTTTGTACTTTCCCTCTGCCACCAATTGAGCATTTCAGGAGTCAGATCCTTGCCTGACTGGGAAGTAGCAGAGACAGCAGGTAGGAGACTCCTGGCACAGAAATCTCTTCTAAATAGGGCTGCTGTCCTCCACTGCCTGTTGCTCCTGGTAGCAGCGAGTCCTGTGGGAGGGATCTGCTAAATCAACGTAACCCCTCACCCACACCCTGTTGGGAAGCTGCAGGTTGAAGGGAAATCTGCATGATAAAAGGTCCCTGCTGGGAGGGCGCTTCCCCAGCACAAAGCCGCTGGGAGCCCAGTCTTTGTTCCCTGACACCCCAGCGTGGCAGGGCCCATCTGTGCCTCTTTCATTCATTCCCTGGTGAATGTTAAACTCATTGCTGGCTGGGGTGTGCGGGAGGCCCTGGAGCCCTAGCAGACTTGGAGGTCAGGGCCCGCCTTCACATGGCCCTGAGACCAATGAGAGCCTGGAAAAATAATCTACATTCTCCTCTGTACCCCAGGCGATACTGATTGTCTGGGGCCAGTTGTCCCGATGCACAATTTTTAAGGAGGCATTTAAAAGGGTAACAAAATAAAACAAAGCCCAAGAGAACACTATAGATCTCTTAGAAAATCCTGATTCCCAGTTTCATGGCTAGAATCACTTCTAGGACTTTGTAGCTTATTCGTTCTCAGTTAAGTAGCAAATTTTCTTCTCTAGTTACTGTGTACAATAACCAAAACCTAGTGTTGAGTTTAAGCTGTGGCTTCATAAAGCTGAATTGTTCTTGGGTGGAGTTTGGAAAGATGGAGGTTGTAGAATTTAAAAATCATGTATCTCTCTTGGTCTTCTTTCTTTAGGATGCAGACAACAAAGTAGAGAGGATTTGGGGTGATTGTACAATCAGAAAGAAGTACTCTCACGTGGACTTGGTGGTGATGGTTGATGGCTTTGAAGGCGAAAAGGGGGCCATAGTGGCTGGGAGTCGAGGGTACTTCCTGAAGGTAAGAGTTGGGAACCAGTGGGGGTAAAGAAAGAACTGAAAAAAGACTGCCGAAAATCATAGTCATATTTAAAAGGCCCACAAATCCACCACTTGTACTGGCAGCCTGTCTGTAAATATGTAGCAATTAGATGCAATTCTCTCTCTAAAGCAAGAGTACTTATCCAGATTCCAGAGAACAAAAGCCACTCAGTGATCCTCCATAATGAGTATGTTTTGCTGACTGAATCAGAACAGTCTCTGCCTTTGAAGAGCTCAGAGTCATTGGACAGTCAGACAAGTAACAGTTGAAACCCAGTTCGATAAGCTTGTGGTCTGAGTAGGCCCAGGGTGCTTAGAGAACAGGGAGATGGAGGCAACAATCCCGTGCTAACTGGGGCAGAAGGCACATGAATTCAAAGAAGGCTTCCAAAAAGATACACTGAAATGATTTTGGAAATAGTGTGCACTTCAGTAAGCTCTACCTTTACAAATGAGTCCAGTGTTTCAAGAATTAGCTTAGGGAAACAAATGTGCAGTCTGGATAAATGGTCCATTTCCCTTACTTTGGCTCTTAAAGGTAATTCTCCAAAATGGGCATGGTGCCACATGCCTGTAATCCCAGCACTTGGGAGGTTGAGGCAGGAGGATCCCCATGAGTTCGAGGCCAGTGTGGGCTACATAGCGAGACCCTGTTTCAAAAAACAAAAAACAAACAGATAATTCTCTGGACAAGGTGCCTGCGTGACACACTGTTGGGCTTTTTGTTGTTAAGAAGCTCCTGGCAGTTACATTCCATGGTTTTTCTTGGCTTATGGTGTGCCCCTCACCAGTATCATCCATTGCCCAGTTGCCCCTAGTGTGAGTTTTAGCAGATGAATGGGATGGTGACAGGACTCGGTCACACAGCACTGTGTCTCTGTTCCTTTAGGGGTCCCTGGTGTTCCTGGAACAGGCTCTCATCCAGTTTGCCCTTCGCACCTTGGCAAGTCGGAACTACATTCCCATTTATACCCCCTTTTTCATGAGGAAGGAAGTCATGCAGGAAGTGGCTCAGCTCAGCCAATTTGATGAAGAACTTTATAAGGTAAGTAGTCTGAGGCAGCGTGGTAGAATAACTTCTTAATTATGAAGCTTCACTCCAATGGTACAGAGCAGTGCTATCCAACCACTTTATCATGGAAATGTTCTATAGCTATAGCTATTAAGTACTCGAAATCAGCCTAATATGACTGGGGGAACAAATTTTTAGTGTAAACAGGCACATGTAATCAGTGCTGCCATATTAGACAGTGCGGATACAGAGCCTTTTTCATTCTCTCCCCAGTAGTCTGTATGATATATATAATCGAGCATACTTTGTCACCAGGAGCTTGGTGAGTTCTTGGACAAAAGGAAATAATAAAAGTGGCACCAGTCTCCTAGCCCCCTTGCCATGTCCTCCGACTGCTGACTTGTGACTGGGAGCCCCCACAGGGCCAGGTGCACTTACTTGGGGTGGGTGTGACTCATACATAGTTCATGGCTTCTCTCCAGCCACAGACCATTGTAGGGAGAACCAGATTCAGAATGTCATTCTGATCAGCTGTAGCACTGTGGTCTATCCAGCACTCAGAATTTCTAGAGCTGTGCTTGGTGGCACATGCCTATAAAGCCAGCACTCTGGGAGGCTGAGGCAGGAGGGTTGCAAGTTCAAGCCCAGTCTGGATAACTTAGCAATTTAATGAGACTCTTGACTCAAAAGAAAGGAAGAAAGGACTGGAGATGTAGCTCAGTACAAAGGCCCTGGGTTCATTTCCTAGTACTGCAAAAAAAAATTTTTTCTGGAATGTTTCTGCTATCAGCTATCCATCATGGCAAATTTACCTCTCACTTGCCCCTCTCTTTTAAAACTTACTCTGTTGGAAGTGAAGGTTTTGTTCCTATTAGCAAGTGCAGTTAGGCTCATCTGATTCGTAATTGGTTGCATAATGTTATGTAAAATCAACATAACTGTGGATTGTCAGCTCTTCCTTTGCTGAATGTTTAGGAAGCCTCCTTTCTTGCTAAAAAAGCATGATATATGATACCATATACGTATTTACACACACACACACACACACACACACACACACCTCCAAGTACTGGGAGTAAACCCAGGGCCTTTGTGCTGTGCTTCATCCTCAGCCCTTTGGCCCTTTTTATTTTGAGACAGGGTCTTGCTAAGTTTCCCAGGCAGGACTTGAATTTGTGATCCTCTTATTTCAGCCTCCCAGAGTTCTGGGATTATAGGCTATGACAGTACACCCATTTTATTGGGTGAGTAAAGTGAAATGTATCTCCATAATTTGCATGTCTTTGGTCTCTGTCATCAGGGACCCCATAACTGTTCCCTCCCTTGTCTTCTCTTCTTAACATTCCCTCCCTACTCCTAGGCAGAGACTGAAGAAAACTTCCTTCCCTGTCACTCGTATCTTTCCTGTAGTTTCTTTCTTTTTTTTGGTACCAGGGATCAAACTTGGGACCTTGCACTTTCAAGGCAGGTGCTGGAACCAGTGAGCTAAATCCCCGGCTTCCTGCAGTTTCTTAAACAAGCTGTGTCCTCCTTCAGTCTTACTTAACATAGGTCTCTCTTCTCCTACAGGTGATTGGCAAAGGCAGTGAAAAGTCTGATGACAACTCCTATGATGAGAAATACCTGATTGCTACCTCAGAGCAGCCCATTGCTGCTCTACACCGGGACGAATGGCTGCGGCCAGAAGATCTGCCCATCAAGTATGCCGGCCTGTCCACCTGCTTTCGCCAGGAGGTGGGCTCCCATGGCCGTGACACTCGTGGTATCTTTCGAGTCCATCAGTTTGAGAAGGTAAGTGGAAGGTCAGAGTAGGAGTAGGAGCCTTTATCTCCCTATCTGTCCCTGGCACTGTTTTCTATGGGGCAGAGCCTGGGAAGTGCATGGTAAAGTGGCTTCGAGTGTAGACTGGAACCAGGCTCCTGAATCCAAATGCTAACTCCACCACTTACCATCTCTGGAACCGTGGTCAAGTTGCTTAACCTCTTTGGCTCACTTTCTACCTCTGTGAAAAGAAGATAATGGTCTCCGCCTCACTACACCAACTGTGTGGAACAAGACAGTCAGCATGTGGAAAGCACTTCGCATAGCAGCTGGCAAGGACAGACCGTGGTGGCTCTCTGTCAAGCTGGTGTTCTTGCTGTTGCAGGCCAGTCTCGTAGAACACAAATCGCTCCTGCTGGGGGCCTCGCCTGGCCAGTCTCCCAGCACTGCAACACTAGGCCAGAACGTCTCTACTTCAGTTCTGCCATTTTTTCACTGTGCACTGCTCTTCCTGTCTCCTTGGGTCCCCTCTGCAGATTGAACAGTTTGTGTATGCATCACCTCACGACAGCAAGTCATGGGAGATGTTTGAAGAGATGATTGCCACTGCAGAAGAGTTCTACCAGTCTTTGGGGATCCCTTACCACATTGTGAATATTGTCTCAGGTAGGGGATCCCTCCTCTTCCCAGCCTCCCTCCCTTTCCTGCACCCCACAGACACCACCTTCAGCAGCTGCACTGCCACACAAAGTGGTAGCTTGCAATCCAGCTCATTAGCCACATTCATTAAAATATCACACCCTTCTTACTCGAGGGTGTTTGGCGGTGAGAAGACCCGAGCATGATTTCACTCCTGGGGATTAGATGGGAAATAAAGAATACTGCAGGCTCATGGGAGGTTGGCCTGTGGAAATGGCATCTGTCCTTCCTGAATTCCATGGGCTTTTCTTTACAGGTTCTTTGAATCATGCTGCCAGTAAGAAGCTCGACCTGGAGGCCTGGTTTCCAGGCTCAGGAGCTTTCCGTGAGTTAGTCTCCTGTTCGAATTGCACAGATTATCAGGCTCGCCGGCTCCGAATCCGATACGGGAAGACCAAGAAGATGATGGACAAGGTAGATGGCCCCTAGTGAGGTGGGCAGTGGGGCCTTCAGCACAGGGCACATCTGTGCTGTCCTGTGCTGTTTATCAGCCCTGAGAGCACATTAGTTTCATGGGAAAATCTGAACTTCTCAATCTAGACCAAAAAGGAAATCTGGAAATGATTTCTCCTGAATTAGGACTAGGTTCTCTTAGAAGCCTGAGTCTAGCCCTATTGTACAAAGTAATTCTAGCTTTTCGGTTTTTGGCTTTGTTTTCCTTAACTCCAGAGAAGGAAAAATCTCTATTTACCTACACAGAATAACTTTGTGGCAGTGCCTTCCCTCTTTTCACCCAAGAAGGTTGGATTGTAAGCTCACCTCTCAAACCCAATCTTCAGGCCCTGGTCTAAGTCAGGCTTGCCATGGGTGAAAAGCAGGGGCCACGGTGGTATTTTCTTCCTGCCAACTCTCCTCAGAATACTGGGACTTAACACATTTCACTCATACAGACATGAGGAATCTATCTTGAGTTAATCTAATAGATAGTAAACACTAAACAAAATTCAAGTGTTTAAAGAAATTGAAAACAGGTAGAGCCTGTCACTCTGATGTGCATAGTTGTAGCTGGGGGAGTTCGGGCCAAGTAGATGGTGCCTTGTCATCATTGAGAGCAGCTAAGGTTGATTTTTAACTTCCCTCTGGCGCCATCTCTTCCCAGGTGGAGTTTGTCCACATGCTCAATGCTACGATGTGTGCCACTACCCGGACCATCTGTGCCATCCTGGAGAACTACCAGACAGAGAAGGGCATCATTGTCCCTGACAAATTGAAGGAGTTCATGCCGCCAGGTACAACTCCCAAACTCAGCTCTCCTGCCTCTCTTTTCTGTTTTCTCACTCTTGTGAGTAACAGACCCCTTTCAGAATGTACATTCTTTTTATCAGCTTGGCAGGTAAGAACCCAGTTTGAGTAACTCTGCCTGTCCTCTGGTGCCTGGTGAGAAAGTAGCCAGTGCAGGTGTGATATCCAAGTACTGCTAAACTTCAGATTGAGGAAGAAAAGAATGGGAAAAACCAGTTCCTATTATGGGCACCCCTTTGTTCAAAGGGATCATTGTCTGAACTTCCCCCCTGAGGTCCTTGGGCTTTGACTGTCTGAGAAGTGACAGGTCATTTGGTTGGCTCCTCCCTCCCAGGGCTCCAAGAACTGATCCCTTTTGTGAAGCCTGCACCCATTGACCAGGAGCCATCAAAGAAGCAGAAGAAGCAACATGAGGGCAGCAAAAAGAAAGTGTCAACAAGAGATGCCACCCTGGAAAACCAGCTGCAGAACATGGAAGTCACCGATGCCTGAACATTCCTTCCTTGAAGTTTGCCAGGCTTCGTTTCCATCTGCTGGGATCTCAGAGGCTGCCTCGGAGCAGGATGGCCAAGCACCTCCTCATCACCCCGCCCATCTGACTGCATCGCTAACAGGAACCGTCTGCCATGCGCAGCACAGGTGTTCCTGTCTCCTCGAATGGGCATGGGGTCCACCACTGATGACTGATGAAACCATGTAATAAAACATCTCTGGGGAGGGCTTCAGACTCTTCCAATGTCTTCTCCCTGAGGCTTGAACCTGTCTCAGTTCCCCCTGGGACCACACTCCTGCTTTCTCTTCCAAATAAGGCTGTACTAACCAAGTCAGACCCTCTCAGGTGCGGTTAGGGTAAATGAGTAGGTATAGGTGGGGTAGATTTAGTAAAGGCTCAAAGGGGAAGTGAAAACCTGGAGCCTTACACACACAAACCTGCAGGACCAGATCCCTTATAAATCCTCTCCTGCCTAAAAGGGTGAGGTAGATGGAGCTTAGAGAACAGAGTTGATGTAAAACCCTCCTGGCTCTTGTGTTCCCTAGGAAAGCCTCCATGGAAAGGGAGGGATGCTGTGAGGGATTGAAGTAGGTGGGACTTTACTTAATCCAAAAGAGCCCGAAGCTTCAAGAACATGGGTTGGGGCCTTTTTAACAACTGGCTACATGACAGCTCATTGCTGCAACTCCAGGAGCTTCAGGTAGCTGACAGGGCAGCAGGAAGAATATTCATTCCTTCCCAAGGAGCTCCCAGTATTGTCCTAATAACCATTCCCTGGAGAGGATGGTATTCAGGCTCCTCTTTTACTTGCTGTCTTTCATCTGCAATCTACAACCTTCAACTCTAATGACACCTTATGTTAGTCTAGTACTTCCAGTGATCCCTTTTATCTTTGTGATGATCCCAGAAGGTAGGGTGGGGACATGATTATACCTGCTCCATTATGGAAGGCAGCAGGACACAGAGAAGGGGACATAGTGGCCAGGTAGAAGTCCTGGCTCCCCAGTGGTGCTTTGTGTTTGTTATTTCTTTGGGAGGTTGAGAGCCTGAGTGTAACCTAGTACCACTTAGAAGCCACCAGCTCATTTCAGCTTCCTGAGTCCCTAAGTAACAACTGCCCTGGACCTACTGGAGCTGGTACCAAGGAAAGAGGCCAGTTTTCCACTGAGGGCTAATCCTATTCATCTGATGCCCAGATACCTGATCAAAACTGGGACAACCAAAAGGGTGACCACATGGCCCTCTTGCCTTGCCTGCAGTGCCAACTGGGGACCTACAAATGGCCTCTATAGCCTATTGCCCTCAGCGCTTAACAAAACCAGGGCAAGAGGGCAAAAGAGCAAGCTGCTCCCATTTGTAATTCAGAAGGACAGAAATTCACATTCCTGTAGCTTCAGTGTTAAAAGCAGCTTACACAGCAGGAGACATTTTTGCTCCACCCCTACTCCATTTTAGAAGCCCACTAGAGACTTGCAGGTACCCTGAACACCCCCATTTCTGTTGGCCCTGGCCTAGGGGGTCTCCACAGCAGCTCCCTGACTCCTAAGCTCTTTGGCTCCTGGTCCTTGTGACCTTCTTTCAGCAGAAGGCTTCGATTTTTGCCAGGGCCCAGAAAGCTCTATGGGAGAGGAGGCTGGGGATTTAGCTCAGTGGTTCTGCCACCTGCCCTGCAAGCACAAGGACCCGAGTTCGATCCCCAGTACCAAAAAAAACAAAAGAAAAAAATGGCCTCTATGGGAGAGGAGACTCTGGGGACTCAGCCCCTGGGCACCAGACCCTGGCTCTTAACTCCCTTGCATCAGCTGGCTAGCCTCACCTGGCTAGTTTACTGGAGCTGCCTGCACTTGGAGCCTGGACACTGCAGCTTATACAGAGGCAGCCTCCTAATCTGAGTAGCTGTGCTCCCTGTGCCAGCTGCACCTGTCTGCCCTGTCTGCAGGCACCTTATGTGAACCCCTGCCTGGAGAAAGATTACTGTGTGGACCACCTTGTCTGTTAGCGGAACATATACCCCTGCTCCCTAAAGCCAGAGGAGAGAAAACCAGCTAACAGGAGTTAAGGCCACAATGACCATGACTGAGGTTCCTCCCTGCAGGTCAGACACAAGAACATACTGAGCTGGGCCAGGTGACGCATGCCTGTAATCTCAGCTACTCAGGAGGATGGCATGGGAGGATCGAAGTTGTAAGCCAGCCTGGGCAACTTAGTGAACCCGTCTCAAAAAATAAGGCTGGGAATGTAGCTTGGGTAGAGCATCCATGGGTTCAATCCCCAGTACTGTGAAAGAAAAATAAGGAAACACTACAGATTGGCAGGTGGGCGTGCAGTCATTAACAGTGCTGACCCTGTGCCAGGCACCATTGGGAGCAAGATTTACAACACAGAATGGGCCACAATCCCTGCTTTCAAAGAACTCAGTCTATTGGGAAAGGTGTGGCTCCCTTTCCTCCAGAGTGAGCTAAAATCCAGACTCCTCTCCCTGAAGCAGCAGCTTGGGGCTGATGGAAGCCTTGTTTAGGGTAGGCTACGCTGAGCAATTGGGAACAGGTCCAGGTACCCTTAACTCCGCCCTGAGTTTGCCTCTACAACCCACGGCTGATGCCCTCATCCCTGGCACCTTGACCTGCCCCATCTCCAACCTCAGCTACCCAGGTCACCTCAGCCAACAACCCCTGAAGGCCCAAAGGAGTGAGTCAGAGCCCTGGGTCTCTTACAAACCCTCGGTTCCCACAGCCAGGAATTCAGGGCCCAAGATGCAGGTCTGGGTCCTTCAGACAAGAGGAGATATTGGGGACCTGATGTCCGGCCTCTTCCACAAGAGAGTTACTGTGAAGCTAGGCTTCAAGAGACAAACGACTCAATGTGAGTCTCGGGGGCCTTCCTGAGTTCAGTTGCTGGACAGAGCTGTTCAACCAAACACTCCTAGACTGAAACCTCTCTCCTGGGAACTGATTCCGGGCTTGTTCTGCCTTTCCTTCCCCGAAGCTTTTCCGGTTTATCCCGGTCCTGAGAACACCTCTTCCCCAACCCCCAAACCTCCCACGGGGGGCCTGGGGCAGCCCTGGCTGCTCTCCCAGGATGAGTCTGACGGCAGAGCAGGGATGGGCCCCAGAGAAATGTGTTGCAAGTCCGAGCCTGTGCTAGGCTAGGATGGGGGCCTGCTCCTTTCCCCCAGTCACCTGCCAGCATGGGGTTCCCCAACAGCTCCTCCCAAATAGTCACGGGCGCGGGGGGTGGGGGGTGGGGTGGTGGTGGTGGGTTTTGCATCCTTGTAGCCCCAACCGCGCCAGGCCCTGGTCAGGCCTCTGCCACTGCCGTTGCCCTTTTAAGACCCCCCCCACACACCACCAGGGCGAGGGTACTGCAGGCAGGTTCTGGTTGCAGAACCCCAGCAAGGTGCAGCTCCCCCACGACCTGCCAGGAAAGAGGACCTGGATGCCACTTGTCAACCTTCAGGCAGATGTAGCGATCCCAGCGATCTCTGAGGAAGCGCCTTTTCTGGAGAAGTTTCTTTCTTTAGCTGCTTACTTGGCTGATTCGCAAGCCCTGCATTTTGGAGCTCCTCCCCGTCCCTTCTAGCCTCCAATCCAGACCTACAGTCAGAATGGGAAATTATTTTTATTGAGGTATAAATTACTGATAAGGCGGTGTGACCCTTCCGGGAGACTGGTCTTTTAAACGCTGTAGAAACTGAAGAATTGAGCTCCCGTTGAAAATAGCATTCATCCATTCCTTCCATCTTAACTCAGAATGAAAAACAATTTTTTTTTTACTCTTCCTTGAAAACCAGCTCTTGTCTACTTGTGACCTGGCCCTCCCTACCATTCTGTGTCCCCTGAGCCCTTGCTTTTCACTGGCGGTCTCCTGAATCCCCTTCTCCCTCTCAGTTCCCTCCCCGCCACCCCACCCCTTCCCCTCAGTACCGACCTGACCTGCGTGCAGTCCTCCTCCTCCAGCAGCGCCTGCAGTCATCCCTCTTCTGTCACATTACCACCCCATCCGGCCCTTTCCCTCAGATTAATCTGGGTGGGCACTCGGCTCTGTGACCTCATCCCGGGGCGGTCTCCGCCCCCTTCAGGGAAGGTGGAAGGTTCCAGAGGGAGCAGCCTGAGACCGGGAAGAAGGCTCCCCAGATGGCTGGAGTGCAGATTGAGAGCAGATTTGCTGGAGAAACAGGCAGGGGAGGAGATGGCACCTGACCCTAAATGCTGGTTCTCCGAGCACTGACCTCTCTTGCCCTTTCTCCATGTGCTCTCCTGTTGCCACGTGCGGGCCCCCCAAGCTCACACATCTGAGCATCTCAGCCACTTGCAACAGGCACCCTGAACATCTCCACCAGGATCTCAAATCCAACAGGCCAAAGTCTAAGGCCTTATCTGAATCCTCACACCCCTCAGGATTCACCCCCAAAACACTTGAAAGTCACCCTGGACTCCTCTTCATCCCCAGTGGGTCTGTACCACAGTCCCGCTGAGTCTTCCTCAGTGCCATTTGCCCTGGACAGCCTGATCCTCGACCTCGATGCTGGTCTGCAGCCCAGCCTCTCCTTTGGGTACAGCCTCATGATGCCAGAGTACAGATGGCTCAGCCATGTCCTTCCTCTCTGTCTGCAGAAACACTTAAAAGTCCCTCAGTTTAAAAGTCCAGACTTCTTAGCCAGAATCCATGTTCATCAAAATGTGGCCCCTGCTCAGATTTGTAGAATTTCTGCTCTGCTGGTCCCCACTGTGCCTTTGTGTTCCCCCATCTTGGCTCGTTCTGTCTCCCAGCACTGACTGAACTCATGTCCCTTTGTATCTGTTCATGCCCTGCCTCTGCCCACATGGCTTTGCCTTCTGCATATCTGGAACTCTTCCTCCCTCTTCAAAGTGGTTCAGATGCCACTTCCTTTAAAAAGCCTTCCCTAATTCCTCCACCCTACGTAAAAGTATTAAGGACTATTGCCAGTGACAGCAGTTGTCTCTGTATTAGACTGCCTGTCCCTTGAGACCAGGGCTGGGGTCTCATTCATCTGTGTACCTCTCAAACCTGGCCACCCAGCCCTGTGGCCAAAGCACAGCTAGGACCAGCAGGGGCTCCCTCCTCGGCTTGCTTTGACAGTTTAACTCCATTATCATAGATATTGCTTTGGGATTTGCTGCTTGCAGCTCAGCCCCAGGGTCTATTCCTCTCAGTGCTCAAAGACCAAAAATGTTCTCAGCTGGATTGTGGTGGATTCTACATTATCAAGAGGTGTGAGGCTTTTTAAGCCACTCGCTGGCACAGTGGGTTGACCCTACCAGTGGGATAAGGCATCAATGACACTTTTTTAAATGACTTTTTTAATTGCTCCCCAAAGAAAGTCTAGCAGCTGGGACATCAGACCTATACTATCTCTGTCAGTAGCTGGCACTGAAAATGCAGTTTGTGGTTCAAGTGTATGAGTTTAGAGCCTCCTACAGAGTAGCCTGGAGACCCAGCTTCCTATGAGATGGGAGCTCCAGGCATGCAGGGTCATCTGTTCACTCTTCTATACTATCCATCCATCCATCTATCCATCCACCTATCCATGTGGGATGTACTCATTTGACCAATACTTCTTGAGTAGCTATGTGACATATGTGTCAGGACCCATGCTAGGTATGAGACACATTTGTTCTCCCTGGTCCTAGAGCTTGCTGCCAGTGGGTAAAACAGCTGTTAGCCAAGTAAATTAACAAGGAAGTACTCTATGTAATTACAAATTGCTACACATGAAGGAGGGGCATTAAGACTACTATGTTCAATCACTGGAAGGAGGCCAGGATATCCAGAACAGAGCAAAGGGAGAGAAGAGGCTGAGCCACTCCATGTGGGTTTGTGGATCAGTACAAGGAACTTGGACATTATCCAAAGTGCAACAGAGAAGCTCAGCGCAGGGTTTTCAGAAAGGAAGTGACCTGTTCAGATGCCAGACTTCACAATGTTACCCTGTGAAAGACACCGTGCGGGGGGTAAATTCAGAATGTAGCATCTTAACAGGATAACAATCAGTATCATCAAAAAGGAAAGAAAAGAAAAAAAGAAATAAAATTAATGTGGCCTAAGACCTAATGCAATACATAAGCTTCTGGTTTAAAAATGAGAGATAGGAATTTGGATTCTATTGGATATTAGCTGATTCCAGGGGTTCTCATTCATGTTCCCGGCTATGGTCATGGCAGAGGTCCTCTGGGTTCTGGGAGAAGCATCTGGGCCCTGCCTCTCAGGAGCATAGGTTGCTGTTATGTTGGCACTTTATTTCACGTCATTTTCTAGAAGCTGTGAGAGATAAAGCAGAGGATTGACAAATGCTTGTGTTGCCCAAGCTTATTTTGAACTTCTCAACCCAAGGAATTCTCCCATCTTGGTCTTCCAAATAGCTGGGACTACGGGTAATCAACACCGCACCTGGCTTAGAAGACTATTCTTTGCACTTTTCTGAATGTTTGAAATTTTTTAAAATACAAAAATTGTGAGAGTTTTTGTTGTTTCCAGTGCCGAGGATTGATACAGGGCCTTACACATGCAGATTTATTATTTTCATTTGTTATCTTTTATTATTATTTTTCTCATGCTGGAGAGTGAAGGCAAGAGGTTTTTTTGATATTGTGTTTTTTTAAATTTTATTTTATTTTTGGTACCAGGGATCAAACTCAGGTCCTTGTGCTTGCGAGGCAGGCAGCAGAACCACTGAGCTAAATCTCCGGCCCATGATATTGTCATTTTTTTTGTCGTTTTATTTATTTTTCTCTTTTTCTTTGAAACAGTCTTGCTATATAGCTCAGGCTGGCCTGGAACTTGCAGTCCTCCTGCTTCATCAGCCTCCCAAGTGTACTGGGATTACAGGCATGTGCCACCACACCCAGCAAGAAAGTTTTTTAACCTACAAAAATGTTTATTAGTTTTTCTCCACCCCACCCCTCCCTTGAAAAGAAAAGATTTATTTTGCCTCACAGTTTCAGAAGTTTCAGTCCATGGTTGCTTGGTCCTATTGCTTTGACCTGTGGTAGCATAGTGGGAGAACACAACTGAAGAGTGTTCACTCCATGGAGACCAGGAAACAAAGACAGAGGCATAAAACATATATACTTCTTTTTTAGAGGTGCTGGGGATTAAAGCCAAGGACTCATACAGGTTAGGCAAACACTCTACCACCAAATGAATATCACCAACCTATATATTAATTTTTATAAAGTGCAATCTCCAACATACAATAGTTTGACTTACACAATTTTTCAGTTTCTATGATGGTATGAAAGTGTAGTCATTCAACTCTTCTGTGCTTTCACTTTCACTACAGAATTTAATAAATTCCATGAAATACTCAACTTTATTATGAAACAGGCTTTGCATTGGATGATTTTGCATAATTGAAGGCTACTGTAAGTGTTCTGAGCATGTTTAAGGTTGCCTGGGCTGCAGTATGGTATTGAGAGGTTAAGTGTATTAAGTGCTTACATTATTTACATTATTTACAATTTATTATGAGTTTATCAGGACGTAATCCCATTGTAAGTTAGGAAGGATCTGTACTTGGTTGCTGAGTGGAGACTGGTTTAGAGAGGAAATAGCTTCAAGAATCCACAAAACCCTGCTTGAGAACTCTCCTCCCAGAGCTGGAATCAGGGTCTGAGGAACAGAGTCCACCTGCTGAGGGAGGACCCTCTCACTGCAAAGAAAGCGGGAGGCAGCAGGCTGGGCACATGGACAAGTCAGACTGAAGACACTCAAGTGTCTGACTTGCTTGGTTTGCTGGGATCTGGTCACTTTGCTCCACTCACCCCACAACCCAGGAGTCCCAAAGAGCCAGGTCCTCTTGTCTTGGTTCTGTGCCCTTTTAAAGTAGAACTGATCTAGTAACAGGACCAGGTGCCAGGGCCTCTTCCCACCATTCTCTTCTGCCAGAGAGACTGCCCTGCCCATCCATCAAAGGTCACTCTGACCTTTCCCCACTCTGCCTCCCCAGCAGGCCATTGGCTCCAGGATCTGCCCAAGACAGAGTTCACTTGATTCTTCCTGTTGGGCCACAACAGACCCACCCAAGGGTTGGCTGGAGCTAATGTGACACTCACATTTCATTCTTTCCTTTCACTCATTCAAAGTATACTGCTTAAGAGCTTGGATTCTGGAGCCAGATTTGTTGCGTTTAAATCCCAGTTGTGTCATCTTGGAGAAGACACTTAACCTATTAAGTTCAATAATTTTGTTGATGCATTCCTCTCCCCAGGAATGGTGCTCCTGACTCTTCAAGATGCAAATTCAGTCCCACCCGCTCAGGAAGCCTTCTGAGTGTTCTCTCTCTCTCTCTCTCTAATTCTGAATTCCTTTAGTCTTTTCTGTCTCAGTTGTTCCTGGAGCATTTTGCCAAGCTACTTCATTCAGTTGAGTGCCAGAGTTGTACATTTTCCAAGGCAATATTCACCACAAGCCTAGGGGAGCCTTGGGAAGCAAACTGGGTGAGAAAGGCCAATCAGAGCTGGAGGAGAACCCCAGGGCCATCTTAACAGGTCACTTTCCCTTGCAAGCCTCCAAGGTAAAGTGGGAGATTTGTACCAGAAGAGTAAGTTCCCTTTTAACAGACTCCAGGGCCCACTGCTCAATGGTTTTCCGCCAAGTAGGAGGAGGCCTTGAGCTTCTGCACAGCTGGAAAGTCCCATCTAGCAGGCAGTCCTTCCTTTAGGGGGTCTCATCACCAGGGCCCTTCTTGGTTTTAAGACTCCTAGTGGTACAGATAAGCTTGGAGGTTTCCTTTCCATTTCTGGAAGACTGAAGTAGCGGAGGGAGTAAGAGTGCAGGAAGAGGCCGCTCTGTCCTGTGTCCCTAGGGTAAAGCCAGGAGGGGGTTAAGTACTATTTGCCTAATGTGCTTGGAGATGAAAGGAAGGGTTCCTCACACCCTCCAGCCTGAAGGCCTCAGGCAGAAAGACCACTGCCCAGGAGTGAGCTCTGGTTCCCACACCTTCCTTCCCTGCTGACCCCTGTTTGGGCTCCAGAACCACATCCCATGATCCAGAGCCAAGGCTGCCCTCTCTCCCACCCGGAAGTCTTTAGCTACAAAGGGAGACAGATGAATTGGAAGCTGCAGTTTCTCCATGCATTGGCTGGGGCCTTCATCAGAAACGAGTCTCATTACCCAGCCCTGATTCAAAGGATAATTAACAGATGGTATAATTTTCAAGCATTCTCTGCACTACATGGCTATTAGGTGAAGAGCAAAATGCCCACGCAGCCCGTAGATAGATCTTTCCAAATCAGGCTAAGGAAGTCTGGAGAGGCAGATCCCTGGGGGAGGTGTGTAAGCTACTCCTCCATCTCTGCTGCTGCCCTTGGCCTTGTCCAGAATGCTCATCTTTGCCCAAAGAGCAGGAAAGCCCTGATCCAGGGGTCCTCCTCTTAGCCTTCCTTTTCTCTATCCTGCTCACCCAACATTGCCTGGGACAGCCCAACCCCTCTTATAATTCTCTGAGGAGAAAGAAAAACTGGTTTCTCCTCCTTGGCATCGCTGTGTGGAGTTCTCTGGGCCCAGGGCAAGTGGGTTCTCTGCTGTGACCATCGGAAAACAACAGGTCTGCGTCCCCAGGGCAGTGTTGGAAGGGAGTGCTTGATCCAGTAATTTTGCAGACTGGATCCCTGGAGATCCTCAAGTTGTATGGAGCACACCTGGGATTTCTTGGTTGGGAGTGCAGAGAGGATGGGCAAGGCCCTAACCCCTACTTCACCCAGAAGTGCTACTCATCTACTTTATAGTCTGTGCTTCTGGTTGTGATATTATTTGAAAAAAAAACCCAGCCAGATGTGGTGGCCCATGCCTGTAATCTCAGCACCTGGGAGTCTAGGATAGAAGGGTCATGAGTTCCAGGCCAGCCTGGGATACAGAGTGAGACTTTGTCTTAA